CAGGCGTGATCACACGGCAGGGAGAGCCGGGGTCAGAGCACCGAGCGGCGTCAGCGAGTGCTGAGAGGGACCCCAGGGTGAACACAGGCCCCGGTCGCCCCAGCCCCCTCGGGCACCCCGAGACGACATGGGTGAGGCTCTGCTGTCAGGGCCGAGGGGGAGGAGGCGGATTTCGGGAAGTCGCGCGAGTCCTCGTGGCTTCTGTGTCTCGTGTGAGATAATCCATGTGAGCCCGGCAAACACCTCGCTGAGGGCAGCGATCGATGCACCCATACGGGGCGCTTGCACTCGTAAGTGGAAAAGCAGAGACGGGAGCAAAGGGGAGAGGAGCCGGAAAGCGACCAGCAGGTGTCGCTACCGCTCCACCGGCCGAGGGTCCACCCGCGGGATTCCGCCCGGACCAGCCCAGCACTGACCAGAGGCCACAGGGACGCGCGCTCCCAGCAGCCTTTCAACAGGACACAGTCGAACACATTCAAACACATGGGTGTGTAACCACCTAATTCATGGAGTCACACACACACGCACACACACAAGTCAATGTGGCCCGGCCGGCGTGGCTCAGTGGCTGAGCGTTGACCTTTGAACCAGGAGGTCAGGGATAGATTCCCGGTCAGGGCACAGGCCCGGGTAGAGGGCTCCATCCCCAGTGCGGGGCGTGCAGGAGGCAGCCGATCCATGATTCTCTCTCGTCATTGATGTTCCTCTCTCTCGCTCTCCCTTCCTCTCTGACATCAATAAAAATATATTTTTAAAAAACCAACTTGAGCCACCGTCTGGGACCCCCTAGAACCTTTCACCCCGTTACCTCGCTCTGGGGGTGCTGCCCTGAGAGCTCGCGCCGCAGCTCGGCCGCCCGCTCGAGTCCGGAGTCGATGAGAAGCCTCACCCCCGCGCCGACTCCGTCCCACAGGGCGTCCACGAGATCCTCCTGGAAAAGCGCCGAGGCGTTAACTGGCAAACTCAGGTTTTAGGTTTTTTAAAAATAATTAAGTAACTATTGTCATAGCTCCTGCTTATTGCAGGAGGACATTCTGAGTTCGTTCCATTCAACGGAAGCTGGACCCAACTAGCAGCCCATCGGGAAGCAAACAGGCAGGTCGGTCACCAAGCATCAGACACCAGCTGGGGACACAATGCTGTCCGAGCAGAGGGACCCCGATACTGTGTCCACAGCCAGAGGGACCCCGATCCTGTGTCCACAGCTAGAGGGATCCCGATACTGTGTCCACAGCCAGAGGGACCCCAATACTGTGTCCACAGCCAGAGGGACCCCGATACTGTGTGTCCACAGCCGGGGGCCTGAGCCAGCAGACACAGACGCCCTAGAACCAGAGTCCCTCCCGGCTGACCGGCTGTGCGGCCCTCACGGTAAAAGCTGTCCCCTAACGAAAGGAGCGAGAGGTGCAGGGAGGACTCAGCAGCCTGCGGGTGGCACATGCACCAGCGTAGACGGAAACCCCCCAGCTCTCCTCCCACACGACTCAGCACAGGGCGTTCTACCGTGAGAGCCGTCACGCTCAGCCACGCTGGGCCAGGAGCCTCTCCCGCCCGGGTGCGGCCTGCCGGAGCTGTCGCCCCTCCCCTGTGCGCCCCTCACCTGCGCGTCGGCGCCCCCGTAAGCCCCGGGGTCCAGGAGACGCAGCCTGCTCCCGCTCAGCACCGCCAGCTGCCCCGCACACGCCACAGCCTGTCGGACGGCCTGGGTGGCTCTGCTCTGCGCGTCCGTCACCATCGACGGGATGTCTGAGGAGCAGCCCTGCCCGGCGACAGGGACCCGTTTGTCAGATGCACGAGGTGCAGGAGCAGGAGGCGAAGAAAGGACAGACCAGACGGGGAGGGAAACACGCTCTGTACCCGAAACAGCAGCGCCTCCGTCTCAGAGAGAGAGACGGGCGCCCCGCCCCCCGGGACAGGGACTAGGACATGGTGGCCCCGCCCCCCGGGACAGGGACTAGGACATGGCGGCCCCGCCCCCCGGGACAGGAACTAGGACATGGTGGCCCCGCCCCCCGGGACAGGGACTAGGACATGGTGGCCCCGCCCCCCAGGACAGGGACTAGGACATGGCGGCCCCGCCCCCCAGGACAGGGACTAGGACATGGCGGCCCCCCAACCCCCCGGGACAGGAACTAGGACATGGTGGCCCCGCCCCCCAGGACAGGGACTAGGACATGGTGGCCCCGCCCCCCGGGACAGGGACTAGGACATGGCGGCCCCGCCCCCCGGGACAGGGACTAGGACACCGCGGCCCCGCCCCCCGGGACAGGGACTAGGACACCGCGGCCTCTGGGGTCGCACACGGTGACGAGAGAGGACGACACGGAGGCTCTTTGCCCTTGAACTTTTCCGGCCTCGACAGCCGCCCGGCAGGCTTCCCTAAGGGCAACCGAGGGTCGGGGTTTGGTCTCTCACTGCCGCTCGGCTGCCTCTAAAACCTGGGAGCCCATCGGCCTGCCTCCCTCTCTCTCTCTCTCTCTCTCTCTCTCTCTCTCTCTCTGTTTCTGCCGCAGACCAGCCTCAGCCGCGCCCTCTCCACACTCAGGCCCGAGTCCACCCGCAGGGCCTGGTCCCCAGCTCGGCCCCAGCCCCGGCCCCGCCCACGGGAAGGGCGCAGACACTGAGCGAACGCCTCCCTCCCGCCATCGGCACGCGGACTGACCTGCAGGAACATCTGCACGTAGCTGCCCAGCTTCTCCACCTCCTGCCGCAGCTCCTCCGCCAGCCGTGCTGCGTGGGGCCCGGGCGGGGCGTCCCCCGGCCAGAGCGGGGCCAGCACCGCGAGCTGCCCGAAGGCGCAGGCCACCTGCACCGCCCGCGCCTGGGCCGCGCGGTCCGCAGAGAACACTGAGAGGAAGGAGGAGGATGGGAAGGCCTCTCCCAGGAGAGAAGCTGGCTCCACGCCACCCGCCGGGAGCGTGTGCGGCTGTGACAACAGCCATTCAGAGGGAAGCGCCCACACAGGAAGAACCACTGGGGGGGGAGGGGGCAGGGGCTGCTTACGGTCGTCGGGGCTGTCCTCGTCCTGGGCGGCGTGGGCCTGCGAGATGGCCAGCAGCCCCCGTGCACCCGCAGGAGGCTGTCCACCAGGCCGTCCGCCACCGTCTCCTCCTCGCCGCTCCGCCCGAGGACGGCCAGGGACGAGCCGATCAGCTCTCTGCAGATCCCGGGGAGGGAGGACGCCGCGGAGCTGGAGCCCAGGGAGCCCGGCTTCTCCCCCGAGCCTGTGCCGACGGAAGACAGCCCTCAGCCCGGACCCGGCACCACAGGTCCACGGCCGCGCGCCCCGAGCGCGTCCCTCACCCCCGGCACCGGGTCACGCGGGACGAGGACGGCTGACGACCACACACCTGAGGAGCGAGAGGAGGGCAGACTCGGAGCCGCGTGGGCCTGGATGTCGTGCAAGTAGCCGGAGACCCTGCGGTTCTTCACCAAACTCCTGCTCCTGCGGACGGACGAGCGAGAGGCGGTCGGTGACCCGCCCTCGAGTGGCATCGTTCGCTCAGGTTCCATCCGGGGCCAAGCCCTGGGCTCCGAGGGTTCCCCGTCCCAGGCGCGTCCAGGCACAAGGTCATGGAGTGACCAGGACAGGCCCACGCGTGCAGAGGAGCACGCCGAGCACGAGCTCTGGGCTCAGCCACTGGACGTGCCCAGGGAGAGAGAAACGGGCGAGTGACCACAGCAAGCTGAGTGTTGGGAACCCAGCACGCGGGAGCTCGGGCGCAGGCGGCCATGGAGGCGGAGGGCCCGGGCCCCCACGTGGAGCGAGCGGGGAGGCGGCCGCACCGAGGGAGGCGTGGGGGGGAAGCTGTGCTGAGCGGGGAACGCCATGCTGGTGGGGACAGCACGTGGGCGGCGAGGCAGAGGCCGGGACCGGCTGGCCGCCCACGTCACTCATCGGGGGAGGGTTGTAAGCGGGGAGCTGGTCTGGGAACGGAGCTCTGCGTGGAAAGCCCACGCCCCGCAGGGAGGTGGAGGGGGTGGCTGCTCCGCCGTGTCTCCTGCTGCCCCTGCCCCTCAGCCAGCAGACCCTGGGCCTCTCCCCGGGGTGAGGGCACTGGCTGTCCAGCTGCCCCGCTGTCCTGACTGCTCTGCGAAAGCCCCGCCTCCTCCCGGCCACTCGCCCGTCACTTCTAACGCCAATGGCAGCCCCCGGGGAGCAACACAACAGCTCGAGCTGTGACCCCGACCCCCACCCAGCGGACTCTTCGGCGTCTTTTCCTAACAGAACTCCGGCCGGCTCTGCCCGCGCAGAGCAAACACTGTTCGTGGGGAAGGTGGTTAAACAAAGACACTGGCCCTGCCACAGCCCGTTCCCCACGAACGCCTCCCCCACGGGCCCTGCGCACCCACAGGGACAGGGCGGGAAGACAGGCAGTGCCCGTGCTCGGGGGCCAGGGAGACGGGCGTGTGAGCACAGGATCCAGACCAGGAAACCGGCCCTTCGCCTCCATCTGGGCGAATGACGTCTAAACCCAAACAAGGAAAACGCCCGTCACGCCCCTTCCTGAGACGGCCACTCGGCGTCCGGCAAGTCCCGCATGTGACTGTCACGGGCGCGGCGGGATTTACAGGCGGCCGTGCTCTATTTCACTCGGCCGGGGCCTGTCGGGCGGCCGCGCAATTAAGAAGCTGTCAGGGCCCGTCGCTTGTCACTCGGGGCGGCCGGGCGCCGGCGGCTCGGCCATAAACATCCCACAAGGCTGAGTCTCACTCCAAGGTCTCGGCCCGAGAGCCGCTCCTTCCCTCCAGACGCCCCCCCTAAATCACAGACGCTCTCAGCCGGAGGAACACCCGGCCTCCGAGCCTCAGGACACGGGAGCGCGGTGCTGACTTTTCAGCAACGACTGAAACCTCCCTCGATTCCCTCATGGTTAACCTGCTGGTCAGCGGGGGCCGCGGCGTGAATCACCGACACCCATCAGGCTGCAGATTTCTCTGAAAACAAGGACGTGAGCCCCGGCCGGTGTGGCTCAGTGGATAGAGCGCCGGCCCTCGGACTGCAGAGTCTCGGGTTCGAATTCCGTCAAGGGAACGTTCCTGCACGTACCGTGTGCGTTCCCCGGCCCCGGTCAGGGCTCGTGTGGGAGGCAACCCACCAATGTGTCTCTCTCACACCGATGCTTCTCTCGCTGTCTGTCTCTCCTCCTCCCTACAACTCTCTCTAAAAATCAATGGGAAAAATATCCTCGGGTGAGGATTGAACCAAAAATAAAATGAAAAATAAGGAAGCGATCCGGACGTGCCCCCGGAGCCAGCGGGCCCGGCGCAGCGAGGCCTACCTCCTCCGGGAGAACGAGGCGGCGGGCGCGTCCGTGAGGTCGGGCTCCCACTCGTCCTCAGGGTCACAGAAGAGGTCCTCGCTCTGGCAGTTACTCTGGGGGAAAGAAAACAGACGGTTTCTGCTTGTTATGAACTTAAATACGTGGCTGCACTTTATTTCACTTTTTATCATCATTTGTTTAATCTGTGTTTCTATTGATTTCAGAGAGGAAGGGAGAGGGAGAGAGAGAGAGATAGAAACACCGATGATGAGAGAGAATCATTTGATCGGCTGCCTCCTGCTCGCCTCCCACTGGCAATTGAGGCCGCAACCCAGGCGTGTGCCCTTGACCGGAATCGAACCCGGGACCCTTCAGTCCACAGGCCGACTCCTCCCGGCTGTGGTGAACACGCCCGAGGTCCCGGACCTGACCCCGCCGCCTGGCCCCACTCGCAGGGACCTGACGCCGCCTGGCCCCGGGGCGAGGGCTCGGTGAGCATGTGTGTGGGTTTGCCTCGTTAGCATCGCATCCGGGGTCCTCACAGCTGTGATCGCACTGAGATTGGCGTGTGGTTCTCTTCTGAGTCATCTTTTCGGGTTTTGTGGTTTTCGTTTGATTTTAATCGATTGTTCTCGCGTCGGAGGGCAGCCGGGACGCCTGTCTTCTCGATGCTCTGGGACCGTTCACGGGACGTGTCTGTCTGGAAGGTCTGGAGGTTCGAAAGCACCTTCCTCGTGAAACCGACTGGGATCCGCACCTTTTTGCGCCCCCCCACCCCGCCTTCATTTTTTGAGGTTCTTGACTGACTTTCCGGTGTGTTGCCAGCTACTCAGCTTTCATAACTCTTCTTTTACCAGAAAGGCTTTTCCTCCTGGAGAATGACCACACTTATCGGCACAGCTTCACGTGCGACACAACCAAAGGCCCTGTGGTCTTTGCTGAGATGCCGCCCGCACCTCGAGTCCCGGTTCCCCTTCCCAGAGCCGGCGCCGGCGTGCGCTGACCTCCGCCTCGTCCGCGACAGCTTTCCCGCTCGCTGGCTTTCCTTTGCTCCGTGTCCTGATTTCCCAGGCTGACCGCACACTTTTCCCACAAGGAAACAGAGTCAAACCTTCCGACTCACAAATGAAAGCAAACTGGTCAAATAGGTGAGGGGCAATATTTCTGGTAGCAAATTGTGAGCATCAACGTGTGATTAAAAAGATTCCTATTTGGGGTATGATTTTAGAAGACAGAAGACAGGAAGTAAGATATTAAAAACAAGTAGGGCCCGGCCGGCGTGGCTCAGGGGTTGAGCATCGACCTATGAACCAGGAGGTCACGGTTCAATTCCCGGTCAAGGGCACATGCCCGGGTTGCGGGCTCCATCCCTAGTGGGGGACATGCAGGAGGCAGCCGGTCCATGATGCTCTCTCTCATCATGGATGTTTCTCTCTCTCTCTCTCCCTCTCCCTTCCTCTCTGACATCAATATAAACATATTTTTAAAACAGTGTAGAGAGAGAGTCATAGCATGTGAACCTCATCGAGCTCCTTCAGGGCCGCCAGCTTGGACTCAAACTTCTCCAGGCTCCAGAGGGTGGACACGCCGAGCCGCAGGTTCCGCACCCGGACCCGGGGGCCAGAGCCACCCCCTCTGTCGGGCGCCTCGTGTCTGAAACACACCAGAGGGAAAGGCCATCTTAAGACACACGTGCCCGTCACTCACACGAGAGCTTCTGAACCAGAGGCCCCTCCTCCAGCACGGGGCCCGGAGGAAACCCTTAGGGCTCAGCACGCTGTGGCCGTCACCATCATGGGCAGGTGTGCGTCCTCAGAGGAACTAAAGCACTGTCATCGTTTCTAAAGGGACACGGAGGTGAACTCTGCAAACCCAGAGCTGCTTTCCAACCCCGACCACCAAGGGCTCACCTGCCAAACACGTACTGCCTCTGGGAGCGGCTGCTGAGGGCATTGGCCTCCTGGATCATGAGGGAGAGCTTCAGGGAGCCCCAGCTCGTCGGGACTGGAAGCAAGCACACGGGGAGTCAGTGCACACGCACATGCGCACACACACACACACACACACACACACACACAGCTCGTCGGGACTGGAAACAAGCACACGGGGGAGTCGGTGCACTCACACACGCACGCGCACATAGATGCACATGCACATGCACGCACACACAGCTCGTCGGGACTGGAAGTGAGCACACGGGGAGTCAGTGCACATGCACACACACGCATACGTGCACAGACACATGCACACACACATGCATGCACACTCTAGCAATCGCCCCGGGGGAGGACAGGGCTGGGAAAGTCATTCACTTAATGATTTAGCCGGGGTGAGGGTGGCTCTCCTCCGGCCCGTGTTGCGTGCACAGGGGGCCGAGAAGCGCTGACCCGCCCGCACTCACCCGGGGGAGCCCTGTCCTTGCTGCCCTGGTTCTGCTGCAGCGCCTGCACCTCTTGAGCGATTTTTTGCTTCTCGGCTTCCAGGGCCTCCAGGATCCTCGTGTGGCGGACGCTGTGGTCTTCCAGAGCCTGGGCCGTGCATCACGGGGCCACGCGTGTGCATGTGGGAGAGAGAACACGGAGCGGGTGGGCCGCGGAACACGCTGCCATTATGGCTCAGCTCGCAGGGTGTGCTCCAGTCAGCACAGGAGGCCACTGGGAACTTATGAAACGTCTTTAAGGAATGCCTTCCCCCCAAAAAAACGTCATTAGGGCTTTAATTACATGGGTTAGTCTTTCTCTTTCCACTGACAGGAGTTAAAAAACAAACAAAACACACACACACAAAACAGCGCTCAAGCAGCCCACGCTCAATGCCTTTGAAAACCTCACTGGACACCATCAGCCTGTGACCGCCGACTAACACTGTTCTCAAGATTTAAGCATTTCTGCTTTTCCTCCTAAAACCCTCGAGTTTGGGGCCTCGGTGTCCTTGAGCTGACCCCTGAGGAGTGACCACCACGTCACCACCGTGTCCACACTTGGGGCCACTGGGGTGTTTGCTCCCAGCGCCACCCCCACCGCAATCTTGGAAAAGAGAAATAAAACGGCCCTGAGAGTGACGCTGTGACATTAAGCCCTGATTCTCCCCCGACAGCCCGGCTTCTCCCCTGACAGCCCGGCTTCTCCCCCGACAGCCCGGCTTCTCCCCCGACAGCCCGGCTTCTCCCCCGACAGCCCGGCTTCTCCCCCGACAGCCCGGCTTCTCCCCCGACAGCCCCGCTTCTCCACCCACAGCCCCGCTTCTCCACCCACAGCCCCGCGCGGCCGGAAGAGTCACCTGCTGGGCCGCCAGCCTCTCCAGCTGCAGGCGCCTCCGGTTGGCCTGCACCTCCTGCTCCAGCCGCTGCTTCACCCTCTCCAGCTCCTCGATGCGGAGATGTGCCTCCTGGTTACTCATCTCCTGCAGCCT